AAAATGCCCTTTGCCTGAGCTGAACTCCTTCTGCCTGGAAAAGGCATCTTTGCTACTACTGCGATGGGTCTTTTTCAATCAAAGTACATTTCTAGGGGTGGCGTGTCTTTGGCCACCCTGCCTCCTTCTGCTACTTTCCAGGAAACACAAGGTGGCCCGTCTCTCAAAACCACCGCACCCGAATCACCCAAACCAGACTTTTTGTCAAGAGATCTTGGGATTGAAGATTCCGAAGCCCTGGCACACATCAAGGGAGGATTTATTTCAATATGTTGTTGCAACTACTTTTGTCAGGTTACCCGTCTCGGGAGAGGCGTTCGTTTCTTACAGCGCATGGTGCCATCTGTTTGAAAAACCAACCACTCGCCTCCGTGCTAGGAGACCACAGATGGAGAATGTTCCCCCTTGTGTGCACAACTGTCAGTGGATGACAAAGCCTTATTGTTTGCAGCCAGGTAGAATTGCAGGGGAGGAGGAGAGAGCAACGTGGGTGCTACTGCAGGGGTTGAATCTTTGTCTCTAGGTACTGAGCGATGCACGGCGAACAATGCCAGTCAATTCTCTTTCTAAGGCAATTTTAACATATCAAGCGAGCATCAAACTACCTGTAGATGAAGCAAAAGTTTATTTTCTCTCCTAGGCAGGTTTCCTCAAGAGGCAATCCTACCGCCCTGAGTTGAAATTGCTCTTAGGTGAGTGGTGGGATTCAGCCAGTTCACACCACTTTGGGAAAACCGGTTGATAACTTTCTGAGCAGTTTGGTAAACTGGTTGTTGGAAGAAATCATTAAGGCAGAGAAAACCGGTTGTTGAATTATTTGAATCCCACCACTGGCTTTAATGGAAACAAATGAAAGCAGGGATATAGGTAGTCTTTGACTTAAGACTGTAACAGAGCCCGCCCGTTAGTCATATCATGAGGGTTGTAAAGCAAGTCACCCAGGTAACTGACCCAATTTTATGACCTTTTTGTGGCAATTGTTAAGCCACCTTGTGGTTGTTTGCTATAGGCCGGTTTTGTCAAAAAAGTGAATATGCTTGTTTCCAGCAAAAATATAAAATGCACATTCACCAATGGAACCTGCAAATATTGCAAATGTGGATCCATTGCTGAGCATCTGAAATGCAATCATGTGACCACTAGAAGGTGAGGAGGAGAAGGTGGGGGGCAAAAGACCATCAGAAGGTGGGAACCCCCCATGGAGATCTGTCCTAAGTTTTTGAGTAGTTGCTAAATGACTCTTCATAAATTGAAGACCACTTGTATGCTTACTTATTGAGTAAGGCTATTCTCTTATGACATTGTGTCATTTTCTTGTAGCAAAAAAGCCATAAAGGATCATGTGGCCCAAGCAATAAAGATAGATCAGCAGAGAGATCTCTGTGTTAGAAATGGTCGTATTTCAGATTGTAGGTGAGCAATGGATAGCAGAATAATATAAGGGGATAAAAGATAAACAGAGTTGGAAGGGACCTTGTAGGTCATCTAGTCCAACGGGAGACCCTACACCATTTCTGACAGGTGGAAGTCCAATCTCTTCTTGAAAGTCTCAAGTGATGACGCTCCCACAACTTCTGAGGGCAACTTCTGTTCCATTGGTTGATTGTTCTCACTGTCAGAAAGTTTCTCCTTCTTTCCAGGTTAAATCTCTCCTTGTTCAGTTTCCATCCATTATTCCTTGTCTGGCCTACAGGCACTTTAGAAAATAGATTGACCCCTTCCTCTCTGTGGCAGCCCCTCAAATATTGGAAGACTGCTATCATGTCTCCCCTGGTACTTCTCTTCACTCAACTATTCATGCCCAGTTCCTGTAACTGTTCTTCATATGTTTTAGTCTCCAGTCCCCTAATCATCCTTGTTGCTCTTTTCTGCACTTTTTATAGAGTCTCAACATCTTTTTTATAGTGTGGTGACCAAAACTGGATGCAGTACTCTAAGTGTGTCCTTACTAGGGCTTTATAGAGTGGTATTAGTACCTCACTTGATCTCGATTGTATCCCTCTGTTAATGCAACTTAATATTGCATTGGCTTTTTTGGCTGCTGCTGCGCACTGCTGGCTCATATTTAGCTGGTTGTTCACTAAGACTCCAAGATCCCTCTCACAGTTACTGCAGTTGAGCCTGGTTTCACCCAGTCTGTATGTGTACTTTTGGTTTTTCTTGCCTGATCATAAAAAGGATCTGAGGAAGACTGTGCCTTCAGTGTGTTATTTGTAAATACCAGACAATTCAAGCAGGTAGCCCTTCACCCTCAGTCTGAAGTAACGTAGAGCCAGCAAGATGTCATCCACCGGCATTATATACCAGCTTATTGCTGTTTTGCTGCTATTTCAGCCTGGCTCCAGAAACGCCTATACTGAGAAGCTGCACCAGAAGAACATGTGATACTGGAAACGCAAGAAAGAACCAAATTACAAGGTCTTCCACCGTACGAGTCCATCAGTATAAGGAGCATTGATGTGGATGCCATAAGCAAGGTTCAAAGTAGCTGCCTTAAGCAAGGCCCTTTTTCGGGGGGGGGGCGGGGGGGGGGGGAGAACAGTGGGGGCAATTCAAGAGAGTCCAGAGATATTTCACCAGAAGATTCCTCCACTCCTCTACCCTGAACAGAATACCTTATTTTATTTTTATTTTATTTGGTTTGTCAATTGCTTACAAGATAATAGGTATAAGTAAAAACATAGTTATGAATACATGGATACATATAAGAAAAATAAAAGAAACAATAGGACAGAGACGGTAGGCACGTTGGTGCGCTTATGCACGCCCCCTACAGACCTCTTAGGAAAGGGGTGAGGTCAATAGTAGAAAGTCTAAAAGGTTAAAGTTTTGGGGGTTTGGGGAAGAAACTACAGAGTCAGGTAGAGTATTCCAGACATTGACCACTCTGTTGCTGAAGTCGTATTTCCTGCAATCAAGTTTGGTGCGATTAACCTTGAGTTTGTATCTATTGTTTGCTCTTGTATTGTTATGGTTGAAGCTGAAGTATTCATTGACAGGTAGGACATTGCAATGTATGATTTTATATACTATACTTAGATCGGACCGAAGGCGGCGTAGTTCTAGGTTTTCTAGGTCTAGAATTTCAAGTCTGGTGGCATAAGGTATTCTGCAACGAGTAGAGAAGTGGAGAACTCTTCTTGTGAAATATTTCTGGACTTTCTCAACTGTGTTAATATCAGATATGTAATGTGGGTTCCAGACTGATGAGCTGTGTTCGAGTATTGGTCTAGCAAATGTTTTGTAGTTAGTAGTGTAATATTACCAGAGAAAAAGCTATGTAAGATTAGGTTAACAACTCTTAATGCCTTTTTGACTATGTAGTTACAGTGGGCTCTAGCACTTAGGTCATTTGAGATGAGTACTCCAAGATCCTTGACAGAGTTCGGATCATCAACAAGGTCTTGACTATTCAGCCTGTATTTTATTTTCTGTGTTTGTTTTTTTTTGCCAATATGTAAGACAGAGCATTTATTTGTTGAGATTTGAAGTTGCCATTTGTTTGACCATTATGATACATAGTTGAGGTCTTTTTGAAGGCGAGCAGACTTGGAATGTTAGACGTAGACAACCTAGGCCTTAGGTCTGACCTAAGCATAGTACATAAAATTATCTATACCACCCCTGCCTTAGACTGTCTACCGTTGACCTCACCCCTTTCATAAGAGATCTTTAAGGGATGTGCATAAGCACATCAATGTGCCTACTGTCCCTGTCCTACTGTTCCCGTTTATTCGTATCTATTTTACGTATTAATAATCGTGTTTATACTTATATCTGTTATCTGTTACATGCTTGGCAAAATAAATAAATAAAATAAATTCCACCAGCTTTCCCAGATGCAAAAGGTCTTATACCCAAAGGATAATTCACTCTTTAAAATTATCAGATGCATTCTTTGCATTCAAGGCAGACAATCCATTGAGTTTCTCGGTTATCCAGGCCATGGTTGTGCCAAAGGTGCTTTTTCAGGAGGCAACTGGATTTTCTTGTTTTTTTTTTCTTTGAAGATGTTTCGCTTCTCACCCAAGAAGCTTCTTCAGCTCTGACTGGATGGCAGGGAATGGAAGGATTTGTAATATTGTGTGCAAGGAATATAAATCCTTCCATTCCCCACCATCTAGCTAGAGCTGGAGAAGGTTCCTGGATGAGAAGTGAAACATCTTCAAAGAAAAATCAGAAAGCCCAGCTGCCCCTTGGAAAAAAAAAAGCACCTTTGGGACAAGAAACCATGGATTCGTTTACAGTCCTGCATTATTTTTTTACAGATTCTTTTACAGATAATCAGAGTTGGAAGGGACCTTGTAGGTCATCTAGTCCAGCCCCACCATCACCACCTAAGCAGGAGGCCCTGCTGCACCATTTCTGACATTCTACTTTGGATTTGCGCACACACTCTAATCACTCAAATGAAGGGAAACAATGGAGAAAAAAAAAAGAATTCAGGTAGTCTTGGACTTACAACCATTTGTTTAGCAACTGTTCAAACTTACAATGGCATGGGGAGGTTGGAAGTGCTCACACAATAGTTGCTGCCTTCCAACAGTCTCACAATCAAAATTTGGCCACTTGGCAAGTGGCATAATTCACAACTGCTGCAGCATCCCGATGTCGTGTGAATTTGCACAACTTGCTGCAGCATCCTGTGTTCATTTAACAACTGCATAACTCACTGAACAACCACAATGATTCATTTATTAATCATGGCAAAAAAAAAGAAGGTTGTAAAATTGGATATGGCTCACTTAACAGCCTCCTTGCTTAGCAATGGCAATTCTGGTCCCATTTGTGGTCATAAATTGAAGACCACTTACTTGTAAGGAAAGGATGATGCGGGGTTCATTGAAACATCTCCGACTTTCAGTCTCCATAAAAAAAAAGCTCTGGTATTAAGGGAACAGACTAAGTGAGAAGTTATTGGCTTATTTGTGCAGAATTATCAAACCTGTGAACCACAAATCCTTTGGGGGCATGGAGAAATACCCAGCTGAGACACTAACCTCCACAGAATACCTCAGGATTTCTCTGTGCTCTCCCAATATTGCTGAACAGGCCCAGAAGCAGCAAGGAAAACAAGGCCTGAGGGGATGCAGCCATGCCTGAAGCCTTAATCTGGAAAAACAGACAAGACAAAGGTAAACCAAGGTGCTTTCATGGCTAGCCCAGCTCTTCCTAACCTACTGCCCTTTAGTGATGCTACAATTGCAGCTTCTAAAATCTTTATCCAATTCACCAGACCACCCAACACATCAGAAGGGCTGAAGAAGGTCAAGGAAGAGTAACATAGTTTTCATAGGTTTCGTCCTGAAACCCCTACCATTTTTGTAACTATCCCATACACACCCATGGTGCCAAATATCTTCACCAGCTATGCAAAACGTTTAATCCAAAATGTTGTTTTATTACCGTATTATTTTTCTCTTCTTTAGTAACAAATGATTCTCTCTTTTTGCCGTACTTTTTAATTGTAAAATCTGATCAAAGACTGCAATGAAGATATTTGGTTTTTTATAACCATTCCCAAATGTTTGACATCGTTCTTTAAACAGGTTTTTTCTTTGTGGCTGATAAAGTGGCTTTCAATCTTCAAATAGAAGTAGAAAGAGGTGATTCCTAATATAATGCCAGTTCTGAAATAATTAGGTAATCTTATATCATTATTTTTTTAAAAAAAAATCTTTAACCTCTGTAAGTAATGCTAAATGATTAAAGATGGGCAAAACTTAAACCAGGGTGATTTTCTCCTACAAAGGGTATTTTGAAGCATGAACTTTCTGTGCTTTAATTATATTGCAGAAAAGCTCTTCTCTTAAGGCATGATTCTATGTCAGCCTAAAATGTTTTTCAGGGAACATTTGAAAAGTTTCAACACATTTCAGATGCTTGATTTGACTGTAAATTATTTCTCTGTACTGAATCCGGCCCGCATTTCTGCAAAACACACCAACAAACCCTTATTTGCTATTTAAAGTCTCCTTAGCTGCACCTGTGGCTGGAGAAAGCAAAGGAGAATTTCCTCAGGGACACAGCTGACTACATCACAGCTGTCTGAACCTGTGGACTTGTCCATCAGTTCAAAACTCTCAACGTTCCGTTGTTTTCAAAGGATGACAGATGGTTGAATTATACCTAATGTACCCAACATCATGAAGCAGATCTGCAACCATGTTGGAACTTACATATATACCAATAGCAAACTCAGGCTGTATTGTTTTCTGAATTATTTTCCTTGTCTTGGCAACAGTGTCAGACTTACAGTGCTATGGTGTATTATTTTCTTCCTTTCTTTTGTCTCCATTCATAATGCAAAGTGTAGCTATCAAAGATGTGGTGGTATGGGACCGCATCCATATAAGATTCCCCCCCCCCCCCCAGATATTCTTTCATCCTGTCAAGTGTCTAAATCATGATTCCTAAATCATGAACCACAAAGTTTTTGCACTGTTGTGCCACAAAGTACTATCTTGGTGTTAGATCAAAGGGAATTTTATCACTGACTGAACAATACAAAAAACTTGCAAGTGTTTGCATGCCGATAAAAGGCAAGTTAAACTTTTGACATATATGAATAATATAGCCCTGGGGGTTGGGGTTTGCCTCTATTGTATTCAAATTTAAGCTCTAAAGTACCCAGGCAACAGCTTTCCCTTCTAATCATCGTGTTTTAGGCAATTCCTCTGCTTCACTGAAATCAAGATATAGCTCAGCTCTACGAAGTTAATGAGGCATGAACCCACTTATGGAAAAAAAAGCAAGTATTTTGCATGCTGGTCACAGCCAGGTTTCAAAACAACCAGATTGCTTTCATGTCCACAGCAACCAATACACACTTTCTTTTACAAACTATCCATCAATAATGTAGGGTTGGTTTTTTTTCAGACAATATCACTGTAGCAAAATCCATCTAGAAGTTTCATTTGATGGAATCGGAGTATCTCTACCAAGTTGCTCACAGAAGGAAGGTGGAGCTGCACAAACTCAAATGGTAAAAAATGATTGGCAGTAAACTTTGGGCAGGATCAACTATGAAATTTTCTGATGTTTGTAGTGATAAAAGGCAGGAATTCGTTATTATGGCAGATTCCCTACCTGATGTTCTCCAACTATGTTGGAACATAGTTTCTAAAATTTTCCGGAAGCTTAACAACAGCAGATACATCTAGATATCAGCTACTTGATAGCTTTAAGATTTCTGGTCTTCAACGCCCAGAATTCTTCCTCCAATCATGTTAGCTCAGGAATTCTGGGCATTGAGTCCACAAGTCTTAAACTCGCCAGGTTTGAAGACCCTTAGTCTAGAATGTGTTCCCATAGGAAAGACTGATTTAGCATGTCATACAGTAGTGAAATTCCCAAACATCTGTATTCTAGTTATTACAAATCAAGGTAATCAAAGAACTACTATGAACTCTCCCACCAATATTGATAGAGCAAGCCACTTGTCTATAAACAAAGAGTAAACCCCACTCCTTTTTAAAATTGATGATGTTACCTAGTTGGGTAATGCAATGTCCCCAAGAAAACAACCAAGCTCAAAGAACTCTTAGTTATTGTAAACTTCTCTAGTATAAAGCTCTAGACTTCAAAGTCTACTTTTGCAAGGTCCCAATGGGTATCTCCTACTTTTTCCTGATAAGATTCTAATATTTTTCCTACTCCTACAAGCAGATCTCTTGCAATTTCCTTGCAGCTTTGCCTAGCATAAAACTCTGTCTTGTTGAGTAGAAAATACTTAAGTTTCACACTCCTTGTTGGCTTTGTTGCCACTCCCAAGTACTCTTCCTGGCAACTATTTTCCCTTAGAGAAATTCCTTGTACCTGAGGTGGAGTTAATGTAGCTTTTTCTTTCCAGCTTCCTTAATGACCCCTTGGGAGTATTATCACCAATTGTTCCTAGCAGGTTATGATGTGTCAACAGGTAAGGCTCATTTGTAGTAAAATGTTGATCTATTGTACTTTCCTAGCATTGGGCCTGTAGTCTTTTTCAGCCAAAACAAAAGAAGCTTCAGTTCTATGTTTACTGTGATTGTTTTTTACAAAACCTGGTGAATTTAATACGCTTTTTGGGAGAAAAAAAAGGACAGTTGTAAACAATCCAGAATTGATGGGGAAAATCTTCTCTGCAATTTCATATACAAGATTTCAACTCAGGGGCTGATGGGAAAAAAAAATCTGGTAGGCTTTCTATCTAAACTATAATTTTTATTTTTAGAAATTCTGTTACCACATATACAATTTTAATTCATTAAAAAACCTCAGCTTTTGGCTTGTCAAACAATTGGAAAACCACAATACCCCTAAAGGGGGGAAAAAATCTTTTCACATGAAGTTGTTATCTAGCTTTTCCAACAGAACTATTCGTAGTTTTATTAGTAAATTTCATGTACATTTACCAATGCTTGAATAAATCTTTGCCCTGAAAACAAGATCAAAGCAATTCAACCACTCTTATTTTATTATTTTGTGTAGTTAGGACACCAAGGAATAAAATTATTAAAAATTACTGGATCCAGCTGTACTCAGTACACGTTGATATTAGAAAGAAAAATAAACTATAAATAGATGGAGGTATGGATTTATTTTTCTTTGTACGTTACCAAATTTACACAGGCAAAATATCTAAATGAAGAAAAAAAATCAGTCTATACTTTCAATCTAAAGGATATTAGATCTAAGTTTTATCTTCTAGTATATGAAAATAATCTCAAATTTCCTACCTTTAAAACTTAATTTCATCAATTGCATTTTCAAAGTGTACTTACTTGGCAAAGATTTCAGCCTCTGCTTAAGCAAGCTCACAGCTCTAAGTTTCAGCCAGGACAATGTTTTAAAATCTGATCTTCCTCCAGAGAAGGCAATTTTATCTCTCTCCTCCAGCATCAGGATCTCCTCAGGTCTATGTCTCAGTGAGAAATCCTATGGCTGTTATGATCTAATGAAATAATCCATGGCAGAGCCAGCCAATGAAAGAGTAACATGTGGGAAAAACAGAGTCCAGGAGCCAACTGGATATTGCATAAAGCTCAGGTGCCTGGAGCAAGCAGTAAAAAGGAAGAAGGGGAAGGAATGCTGGTTGCTATGGAGAATAAAATCACCTGTGTGACATGTGCTCTTATTTACTAGAAGTTCATTAGAGCTGCATTTTCTGATCTTTACTTACCAAATCCATAGAAGAGTGTTACCTCTAGTTCAGCCACTTTAGGATATATGGACTTCAACTCCCAGAATTCCCCAACCATCCTCTGTGAACTTCAACCCCCAGAATTCTCTAGCCAGTCAACATCTCTATGGTCTTCAACTCAGAATGCTAGCTGGAGAATTCTGGGAGTTGAAGTCCACACATTTTACAAGATCCGAGAAGGAGAAACACGGAATACAGAGGTGGTATTCAGCAGTTCTGACTGGTTCTAGAGAACCGGTATCGGAAATTCTGAGTAGTTCGGAATACCAGCTCTGACTGGCCCCGCCCCCATCTATTCTCTGTCTCCCATTGAGTCCCAGTTGATCGGTTGGGTCTTTCTTTGTTGCCCTGCACAGAAGAACGGAGCTGGAAAGCAGGTTAGTGGAGTAGGGAGGGAATGGGGATTTTGCAGTAATCTTCTCCTGCCACGCCCACCAAGCCACACCCACCAAACCATGCCACGCCTACCAAGCCATGCCCACAGAATTGGTAGTAAAATTTTTTGAATCCCACCACTGACAGAATGGACTTAAAAGTGTGTTGAAAAGTTTTTACTGTAAGCCAGGGCTGTCAAACTCCCAGCTCACGGGCTGGATGCGTCATGCGCTGGCTATGGCCACACCCAGTTTAGCGAAGGGGCAAAAAATTCCCGATACGTCACGTGATGTGAGTTTGACACTCCTGCTCTAAGCATAGGGGCATCTGCAGGATGGGTTGAAAATAAATAAAAAAATCAAGATAGTGACTTTGGTGGTGGTTGTGGCTGGTACTATCTATTTTTTTTAATTCGCCTCTTTTATAGACATCCTGCTACAAATGTTTTCCCCTTGAAAATTTCAGAATAGAGGTGGTGCACGTAATCCTAGACTTACAACCATTTGTTTAGTGACTGTTTGAATTTACGGCACTAAAAAAAGCGACATTATTGTTTTTCACACTTATGACCATTGCAGCATCCCCATAGTCATATGACCAAAATTCAAACACTTGGCAACTGTCTCGTATTTATGACAGTTGCAGTGTCTTGGGATCCTGTGATCACTTTTTGTGACCTTCTGACCAGTGACGTCAATGGGGAAGCCAGATTCAAGTAGCAACTAATGCAATGATTCACTTAACACACCAGAAATGTCATAAAAATTCATTTAACAACTGCCTTGCTTAGCGAAGGAAATTTTGGGCTCCATTGCAGTTGTAAGTCGAGGACTAACTCTACTCGACTTACAACCCTAATTGAGAGCCTGGAATTACAGTTGCAAATCATGGCTGTTAAGGGGTCACCATGATTTGACCAATGTTTTTTGCAGCTGTCAATTAGCAAATGCAGCAATTAATAAACACGTCCCTTATAGCCAACAGGTGTTTTTTGCTGGAAGCAAATGCCAATTTCCAGCCAAGCTCTCAAAATGTGATTGTGTGACTGTGGGAGGTGTGGCTTATTGGAGCTTCAAAAACGGGTTTATAATAGCTCTGGGATAGTTTAGCATAACTTGAAATGGTCACTAATCAACTAATCATAAATCGAGGATAACTGTAGCCATTTTCTGAGATATTTAAGTATTTAAACTTCATGCTGCTTTCAATAAATGCAGTTTGGTTCCAGTTTTCAGACCCTCATGACTTTTCCCACCCGTCTGTCAAAGTCAGACTGTTGTACAATTGGTTGTGAGTGCAGTGTCATCGGTGAACTTGCCTCTTGTGTTGCACAAATCAAATTGTGCATTGCATATGAATCTACTTTAATGTGATTTATTAATTTTGATAAAGAACAGTGGTGGGATTCAAATGTTTTTACTACCGGTTCTGTGGGTGTGGCTTGGTGGGCATGATGTGGCTTGGTGGGCATGGCTTGGTGGGCGTGGCTTGGTGGGTGTGGCAGGGGAAGAATACTGTAAAATCCCATTCCCTCCCCACTCCTGGGGGAAGGATATTGCAAAATCCTCATTCTCTCCCCACCCCACTAACCTGCTTTCCAGCTCCGTTCTCCTGTGCAGGGCAACAAATGAAGACCCATCTGATCAGCTGGGACTCGGGAGGCAGAGAATAGATGAGGGCGGAGCCAATCAGAGGCGGGATTTGCTGGTTCTCCAAACTACTCAGAATTTCCACTACTGGTTCTCCTGAACTGGTCAGAACCTGCTGAATACCCACCTCTGATATAGAAGTCAGATACTGAGATGCTGCTACGTGTTCCAACTTAATATATTCTAAAACAGAGTCAATATATTAGTAATATTAGCACTTAGCTCTTTCATGTTAAAAGCTTGAGAGTTTTAGTCAGTGAATTTATTTAGGACATCTAAAAAGAGGCATGGAGCTTCATTTACAAAACATGGAATCCTTGTTTATTTATTTATCTATTTTTTGACAGCTTCCTTGCTCCCCCGTTTCCGAATGTCCTTGCAAACAGCCTCAGTTTACTAATCAAGGAATTTTTTTTTTTGCCATATACTCCTCTTGTTTATAAGCAATCCCACCCACAGATACTAGCATAGGCAAATCCCTTGATGAGACACAGATGTAGAAAGTTTGTTGTTTGTTGTTATGCTATTATCGGCATTGCTAGGAGAGAGATGACAATTATCACACCAGCAGTACCCTTGAATGGCTTTACTTTACAGTGTTCGAATTAATCTGTATTTTTATAGCTATCATTTCAATAGCTAAATAAAGCTTACTGTTGATCGCTTGCTTCAGGAGAGTAGCAAACATTTTTTTAAGTATAAATTTCCCAAAAGGTTTGAGGATAAACTACACACAAATTCTACCTATTAAGGAACTTCTTTATACTACCAGTTCCTGAAAAGTTGGAAAGCTGCCACATTCGTTATGAACTAATACTGTTTGATTATCTTATTTTGAGTGAATTTGTTTTACTGTTAATTTACTTAATTTATTTGTATTTATTCCAGCTTTATTATTTTTACAAATAACTCAAGATGGCAAATGTATCTAATATACCTTCCTCCTCCTATGGTCTCTCAACAACAACCCTGTGAAGTGAATTGGGGTAAGAGATAGTGACTGGCTCCAGGTTACCCAGCCGGCTTTCCTGCCTAAGGCAGGACTAAAACTCACTGCTCCTGATGATTGGCCCAAATTCACCCAGTTAGCCTTCAAGCTACAGCAGGACCTGAACTCATGGTCTTCTATTTTCTTGCCTGGTGTCTTAATCACTGGACCATCAAATTGTTTTTATTGGTTTTGTACCTAGTCCCTTAGGGATAATAACACTTTTTAATTTTTTAGTTTAATACTTACATATAAGCATATTATAACGATAATTTCATAACAAAAGAATTCACCAAACATTTGGACATTTAAAATCAGGGCTCTGCAAACTTGGCAACTCTAAGACTTGTGGACTTCAGTTCCCAGAATTCCCCAGGCAGCATGGCTGGCTGAGGAATTCTGGAAGTTGAAGTCCCCAAGTCTTAAAGTTGCCAAGTTTGGAGACTTCTGCTTAAAATTTACTGGACTTTGCATCACTGACTTTACACAAAACACACACACACACACTGTGCTTGGAACTTCAGGTCTCTACTGATTTGCTGTCTCAAGGCTAAATTCAGACAGGAATGGCAAGATTTTTACTGTCTGAGATGGGAAAGTACAGATTCATCTGTGTAAATTCTGCCCCTGTGCTCTGTCCAGCAAACGGATATCTGATGAAAGATAAGAATTGCATTTCTTATCAGTGTCAGCTTCAAATGACCATGGAAAGCACATTCTACTAAGATATTTTTTTTAAAATATTAAAATCGTAAAATGCATCCATAAAATACAGATTGTTTCTAAAAAAGCAATAAATGTTAGCTCTATAACTAGGGCAAATGGGCAAAGGCCTTGGGCTGCAAATTCTATGTCAGGAGAATTATCAATATACATAGCCCATGACTTATATCCAGTTGTTAGTGACCATTCAAAGTTCTGATGGACTCCCCAAAAGCTACCTAGGACCTGGTTTTGTAGTTATAACATTGCCCCCTCCCGGTGGTCACATTATGCATTTTGGGCAAACAGCTTACATTTAAGACAGTCTGGCTGCCCTAACTGATGTTGCTTATCAGACGCCAGCTGGGAAGGTTGCAAATGGTGATCACACGGCCCTAGGGATGCTACAACAGTTGTAAGGGTGAAAAATGATGTGTCACTTTTTTCAATATCTTTGTAATGTTGAATGTCACTAAATGAATGGTTGTAAGTCAAGGATCACCTGTATGATATTTTGCAGTACCCCACAGTCTCTTGATTTTGATTTATGACAGTTTTTCTGGAAACTGGCATTCCGTTAGAACAATTAATCAGTGGAACAACTTGCCTCGAGAAGTTGTAAATGCTCCAACAGTGGAAGTTTTTAAGAAGAGATTGGATAGCCATTTGTCTGAAGTGATGTAGGGTTTCCTGCCTAGACAGGGGGTTGGACTAGAAGACCTCCAAGGTCCCTTCCAACTCTGTTTATTCTGTTCTGTCCTGCCCTATCCTGCCCTATCCTAACTTCTTGTTTCCAGGAAAGACCTGCCCATAGCAAACAATGGTTCACTTAATAACTGCTGCATTCGCTTAATGACTGTCATGTTTGCTTAACAACCTTCATTTTTAAAAAAGGTTGTAGGCTCAGCTCAGTCATATGATGAAGCACCTTTTTATGACCATCATGACTTATGACCATAATTGCCAGGCTCAATTATAGTCATAAATTGAAGATTGCCTATACTCTT